ATGCTGATTATCAATCACATGGAGTAAATTCTGGGAAAGAAATGAAATTACCAACAACACATCGATCTTCATTGACCTTTCGCCTTCCAATAACGGAGGCCAATCCGATTTTCTCCAGTGGGACTCGTGGAATGAGTTTTCCTTTCTTCACGCTTGCTTCATACAAAATAGGTAGGGTGAGACGATTGTTCCACGATCCTAAAGTGTCAAAGTTGACACCAGGGGTAGTTTTGCCTTTGTTTTCTGTAAGATGGAGACAAGCGATTGATCATATCAAAGGTCAGTTATAGTTGTTTTAATCATTTCTTCTTTTAGTTTCAGTTATAAAGTTTAAGCAATCAACATTTGAATCAAAAGGTAACAGAAGGATAAATAATTGCAAAAACCTTAAATTCCTGAGTATTGTGTATAAAATGCACAATTTATACACAAATAGGACACATTTAAATAAAATATTTTTCCTAATGGTAAAAAAAAATGCATACTGAGTTTATTAATGGTATAATAAATATGATTTTTTTCCAGATATATCTTGACATTACAAATTTCAACCGACACAAATGTGTTCATTTTTCATTAACTTTAATGCTCCAGAGGTAAAAACCTGAGTGGTGGCCTATTTTATCCAGGATTTTACCAATTAATAGAATGTGTATTTGTATAGCAGTCTAAAAATCAATCAAAGAGAAAAGTATTTAAAGAATCGGTTTTGGCCTGATGCTTATTGGTGTTGAATTCAAAATACCTTTGACATAATCTGCTTACAACATTGTTTCATTGATAAGCTTAAGTTAAGTGTTCCACCTACCAGGATCTGATATATAATTTGCAAACCTTTGCTGTGTATATGTGACACATTTAGGCCTTGCAAAAACACGTTTCAAAGAAAGCTCTGATGAGCACACCCCTGGTGCATAATTCCTTTTAAATGTGTGATCATTACTACTGACCACAAGTGTGCGACAAAAATGTCTGTTGACACTGAATACAAGAATCTGGAATCTGTGGGTTTGAAGTGCTGACATTCAACTCAGTCAGAGGATTGCTGAGCATAAATTAAAGTTGTATCACACTGCAAAATATTTGAAAAATAAATGTCATCTCTGCAGTTTCACTCATTGTATAGCATTAATAACATTTTTTAAAAGAAAGACATCATGCCAAATATGTTATATTTCAATACTGACAATACAACCCTAATAACAGCTCTTCTTTGAGTTAGTATGTCTATGCAGTTTTCACAGTTACCTGATCATACAATATTTTTCTTTTTTTATAAAATATAGGGCTTTGACAAAAAAATACACAAACCAAATCAACCCTGATGTAGTATAAGATGTTATTTTGCCCTTATTCACTTGAACCATGAGACTAACAATACATATTCCACATCCTGTTGACACTCCTGTATATGCTGTTGTAATTAATTTGCATTAATTTATCATTATGTTCATCCTCCACACCCCCTCCCCCTCCAAATGTAAAACTGAAATAATTTCATAAAAAACAACAAAAAAACAACAGAGAGCGGGGGATCGTTAAAAAAAATTACAAGGAGGATTAAAAGACTTGTCTTATTAGTTAACTGGTAGAAATTGGATCTGGGTATGGAAGTTATGGTTATTTTCATTCAATCATAATCATAGTGACATTTGCTTTGCTTGAGGGTGGAGGCATGTATTAGACCAGTGGTTCTCAACCTTCCTAATGCCACGACCCTTAAATACCATTCCTTATGTCATGGTGACCCTCAACCACAAAATTATTTTAGTTGCTACTTCAAAACTGTAGAGTACATGTGTTTTCCAATGGTCTTAGGCGACCCCTGTGAAAGGGTCGTTCAACCCCCAAGGGGTCGCGACCCACAGATTGAGAACCGCTGTATTAGACCTAAAAATAACAGATAGTCAACTTAGTCTCAGTAGGAAGCACTGGAAATTATCAAATTTTTCTCTTGTACCGATTACCCAGAAACAATCCTTTCATCAGCCCTGCAACGATTTAACAATATTACCCATGCTGAAGTATTAAAACCACATGCTCGTGATAGTGAGGATGGAACTAAACTTATCCTTACATATATATGCTTATCACCATCATAACCTCACTGCTAAACAAATCTTTATGAGCAATCGTGCCATTCTGCTGGCTTCCCCAGGATGCATATAAAACATTTTCTGATCCCGCCCCCTCCCTCAATGGCAATAGCGTTTAGACGTGATAGGAATTTACATGACTTTATGACTTTCTTGTTCATAGTCACCCATCACAATTTGGACCGAAACCACGATAGTCATAGCCATAGCCACTTACATCCTGTCTTTACACTATTCAAACTCAACAACTGACTTCAAATTGTTATGCTATTATGCCAAATTTATGAGGCATACCCATTCCATGCTGATGGGCGCCATTCAGAGTCACACATCACATGACATTCATACTAATAACAAGTAGGCCTATAATTTAGCTTACTCACTAAATATGACTCAGAAACGAGTGACTACTTATATTATAGAATAATAATACTATACTACATCAATAGTAGAAATAAATATAATAATAATAATAAACGATTTGCTGTATTACTGTATACACCATTATACAGTACAGTATTAAGGGTACATCTAAGAGTAAGACAACTTTTTTTTTTTTACTTCCACTTCAAGCCCACTCTTCTTGATAATGAAAGTAATGAAAGACGAGTTTCCTTTCAAAATTGTAAAAAAACACAACTTTTTAGTATAGTATAAGTAAGTATAAGTCTAAGAATCAAGATAAGAATCTTTGGTAGCCGATTCTTTTATTGATAAAAAAAAATGGAAATGTTTTTTGATTACATTTACTAAATTAGTATTTACATTGTACAGATATATTTTCAGCACATAAATAAATACTTATTTTAAAAAAGTAAACATTTTCCAACTAAAACAGTTTTAAACACAGACATCAACATTAAATTAATATTATTTCTCTAGTGTAAAAAAACAGCCATCCAGTGAACTCCCTCAGCTTTATTTTTAGCCTTGTCATAATAACAGTAACAATAACAACAAGGACTTGACTTAATTAGAGATCATTTAGATTTTGTGACTTCTGGGGGAGCACGCTGGTAAATTCATATTAATCATACAGATTGGGGAACAAACAAATTTTTTTTTATCTTTCACTTTCAGTCCTCGCCCTGGCCCTGATAGAAAGAATTCGTCCTGAATGGGCGGATCCTAAGTTCACTAAGTCGTAAGAGTAAGTACTAAGACAAAAACTAAGTCGTCTAAGTGTCTGTGTGATAAAGAGGGTGGGGTGCACATTAATGTATCAGTCAGTCAATATGATTTAATATCAGTTCCGAGTTATCTTTATATTTATATCATTATCCAAAATAAGTAGGCGTAGGTCTTTTTAACTTTTTAAGTATAAGTAGGCAGGCCTACTCAAAAAAAGTTACAATTACAAAGTACATTTCATTTTCATGTGTTAAAGATTATATTTTTTAGGAAAGACAATAACCGATTAGAACACTCACTACAGTGTTATACCGTATTGGTGAAACTGGCATTGGAGTTGTCAGTTGATAGAAATTGAGACGTTGAAGGCTGAAACTGAAGGTAATCCGCGAATATTTCCGAAAATTCTTGAAATGAAAATCCCATCAACACAAATGTCCTTGACCCCTGAGACGTATGGTCTACACATTGCCGATGATAAACGCAACATTGACATAATTAATTGTTTCTGGAAAATTCACATTAATGATAAAGATTTTTTTTTTTTTTTTTGCAACTGTTTCATTATCTGACTATAGGTCTACATATTTCGATTCTAAATTAAAAGCTCTCCAATAAGTATTATTTTAGGCATATAGTCTATGTAAAAAACAACAACAACAAAGCATTAGCTTATTGAATAATTAGAAGCTGCCGGGAGGAGGCGGAGTATAGCAGTAGTAGTCCGATATGTGCATAGTGATAAAGTGAATAGCCAGCTACCCAACCCCTGGACATATCCTGTCCTAAGTACAAACACGAAAAATAACCATAATATTATATATTTTCAATAATAAACTATACATAAATTATTTTACGATGCCATTATTTTAATCTAGTCGTCTTATACACGTCAAAAAAGAAGGACAATGACATAAAATAGCTCAACTATTAACTACATCAACCTGAAAACTGAAGCCTTTTCATTGACATTGGACAGTTTGAAGTTCAGTAATAACACTAATAATTGCCACCGTTATATACCTACAGAAAAAAAACACACATGATTTACGGTAGTATACACACGCCAAATATCAGATACGTCTGTATTATAGGTATAGATAGGCATACATATTTTTTAAATGGCATACGCTTCTATGTCTATATATTATATAATATAGGGTATCGCCTGAGTGAGGTGGGATCATAATAATAATATGAATATGATAGTGTTTTTTACTGTTTGGGATTTATAAATTCCAAACAGAGTAAAAAGCACATCATTGTACCAGTAATTAATAGTATGTGACGAGACATAGGCCTATAATTATAATGGCAATATAATATTAATGGCATATATGATGTAATCGTCTAGAAAGGGGTGGCCAGCCCAAAAGAATTATCGGACCACTTTGATAGCGATTAAACTGTTCGCGGGCCGCATATCATAACACTCTGCCTTATATTCAAATAAACACCAACTATTTTCTGTTTTGTATAAAATATAGTATAGAAATGTTTATATATACTTTATATATTACAACTTGATGACCTTTGCCTCGACTTAATTAATAAGTCACATAATGAAAAACATACATACTAAATGAAGAAATGACACAAAATAATAAAACCAAGCTATTGTGATCTAACTATATCCCCCCCCCTCGTAATTATCTTTTAAAATCAATTTCTTTGTCATTAAACGAATAAGTTTATAGTTATTAGTGACAAATCAATCATGCGCGGGCCACCCCTGGCCAAGATTGTACCGGTAAGGAAAAAACTAAATTTCGCAATAGAAGAGCGAGTTGACCTTTCATAAAAACATACAGAAGTGAAAAGTAGAGAGGGAACCCAGGCACATTTCTGAAGTCCTAACATTGATTGATTAAGAGTTCTTTGAGTCCTTTGTTGTATTTCAGATAACAAGTTTAAACAACGTTGTGTTTGGGTTTAAATGATAAACTGGCTGATAAACTTATTTGATTTAATTTAAATATTCGGCCACCAATCTGAATCTGAAACAAAAAATGAGATTAGTCCTAACCCCCAGTACGAAAATTGTACTAGGCTGGTAAATAATTTACCTTACTTTGTAATTTGTTTTTCGAAGTGGCTATTCGGACCCGGGTATCAGAAGTGAGAGGTTGGGATTAAAAAATGTTATTTTTGGGTTTGTAAGACTAATTTCGGTATCAACAAATGAACGATAATTGAATGGACTAAATCATAATATTAATATGTTTGTAAACTTACTTCTGCAGTTTAGGCCCTAACTAAAATAAACTACCACAAATCAAAATGACATCTGAATAGCATTTAGTCTAAAGGGACCTGGGTCGGAATAGGGCTTGTCATTTAATGGCGGAAATCTATTAACGGAACTGATGTCATCATTACTCATCATCCGGGTACACATCGCTGACAAAATGTCAGCACTGTTCAGTATTACTATGTTAGGGGATTGTCCCTGAAACTTTTTTACAACTCTATTTTACGAAATATTTTACACATTTTTTTTGTGCTTTTTTTTCCGAAATAAGAACTCATTGCGCGAACGGCATATGTAACAGTGACTCTAGATACAAGGATCGTCCGAACGATATGCTGCAACACACTATAAGCTGCCAAGTTTTAAGCTATATTTGTCAGCCGACCTTCTAAAAATAGTACGCTATGACGTTTTCCGGTCTGAGAAATGACAAAGCCTATAGTGGTTATGCGTTAGTGGTATTAAATTTAAATACAGTTTATTTAATTATTAATAGAAAAAAAAACACACACACACTACAGTTCTTGATAAGAATTACACACCAGTTTTCTAATTATGGTTTATTACTCAAAGTAGTTACTACCTCATTTTAAGGATTCCCACAATAGTCAATAGCTAAACTATATTACATGGATCCTAGTCGAACCTCACTCAGATTCTGTGTTTAGGTTGCCTACTGATCCTAAACTTTGGGCTGAAGTTAATTTTGACAGAGTACAGACCAATAGGCATAGGATTTAAGCTTCCATCCAACCTTGAAAAATATTGCATTGCTATTTTTTAACTAATGTTGTGTGCAAAATGTTTTTTCTAAATCCAGTGAAAAACCGCATAAAATCTTGCAATGGCCATAAAACTTTTTAAAAAATACAAAGTACGGGTAAACTGTTTGCGTGTTTGGTGTATGTACCGATGATAAACAATTGACAAAGAAAACCCTTGTTATAGTGATTGGATAACTATCAAATACCAGTAGTATAGGGTGACCAAATCATGAACTGGAAATAACGGGACACACCCAAGGAGGGTTTGGGGGATACCCTCCAGCTAAAGTAGGGTCCGGGGGCCTCCGCCGGCAACTGTTTATTGAAATATGTTCAGTTGAACTATTTTGAGATGTAGAAATCTTTTTAATTCACCTTCACTTTTGTAATTTAATTTAAACTCTGAGGCATATCATAAACGAAAACAATAATTTTGCAGTGAATACTTATTTTTTATACATATAAGATCTATGGCAGGGACACTGTCGTTTATGCAGCGTCGGCAGAGTGGTGGAAGGGGAACAGTGCAGTCATCACGCGACCCCACATTTGGCACTGGCTACACAGCTATCCAAAATATTACTTGAAGTTATATTATAAATTAGGAAGTTTTAGTGATTTGAAAATGTGTTTGGTTTTAGAAACGGGACATTTAGGTGTCCCAAGAGACTTTTTCGGGACACAGGGTACGATCGTGAAAAAATGAGACAATCCAGTTTTTACGGGACGTTTGGTCACCCTATTAGCTATTATTCATCAAGGAACTTAAGCAATTTAGCAGAAATCTCAGGTTCTATTTACATGCTAGACAAGGTGACAGTGTTAACTTGTTTATATATTCGATGAAGAATGAACCTGTTTTGGCTTAATTTATGCTGACCCATTTTGAGTATTCTTTTGTTTCCCCCACTGAATGTCTTAATCAAAATAAAGTTGGATATTTGTTTCTCAATCAATCACAGTATTTGTTTTGTTTTCAGGACAGCTATAATCTCCATTGGCCTCTTTGGATTTACGGTTGCCAGAGATTCTGTGATTCAGAATAGAAAAGCTCTAATGGACATGAAAAAGAGGATAAGAGAACAGGCACGTGTAGAGGGTGAAGCAGAATTGGAGAGAAAATTCTTAGAAAGACTTGAAAGAGAAAGAAAGAATGATATCACAGCTTCCTGATGATGAAAATGCTATGTATTTAGAATGTAAATTGTTGAATTGAAATATATTATTGTTATTTGAGTGTATAATACCGGTACAATTGAGTGTAATACATTTGAGTGTATGTAATGTATGGATATAGTTCATTGATTAATGAGAATGAAAGTGGTTGAATGTATCTTTATATTATTTGACAATACAATTTTAAAGCATTAAAAAGTCTGTTTTTTCATTATGTCTGACATTATTTCTATAATTGGTAATTCTTTAAAATAATAAAAAAATGAACATCTTAAGGATATTAATTTTATTTTGAGATAAACAAGATCCTATTATAATCTTTACAATTTTAACTGTCTATGTTAAAAATGAACTAGCGCTACCCACTGCATTATTAGCATGTCAAATTCAATAAACACAATAATTAAAGAAACTAGTGGGTTATCTGCCTCTTTTCTTTCATAGTTCTATTACATTTACATGCAGAAACTTAAATTTATTTCAACTAAATCTTCCTTAAAATTACAGACTTTCCCAATTATTGATGCAACAAAAGGTGGTTAAAATCTCTGTAACTTCAATTCAACTAAATCTGGCTAAGCATTACAGACTCTTTCCCAATCTTATTGATGCAACAAAGGGTTGGTCAACTTGTGGAAAGTTCAGAACATTGATTTTCTTACTAATTAAAAGTAGTAAATAATTTTTATTGTGCCTCTACAAGTGCAGTATTATTTATTCACCTATAATAATAGACTTCATGTCAAGTTTTTCTAGTCTAGATAACTGATGCTTTTTAAAGTCCTTCATTATAATACATATTTGTGCTAAAGAAGTAAACTGATGATTAATGCAATGTTTGTTTATATCAGTGATATATTATCAGGCTGTGTTCTTGAGCACTCTGCGTGTGTCTACTAACAAATTTATCAAACACCTAGCATTATGTTTTAAAAAAATGCAATTTGATTTTAAATTTCTCAATTAAGCTTTTAATATACTTCTAAAGAAAGGTACCTGACCACCAAATCCACATGAAAAAAAACACCCTAGCTATTGACCTGATTATAACTTAAAAATGGAAATTAAAATTAAAAAAAGGAAGTTGCACACTCTGTAACTGTGCAACACTGGTGCATTGTAATTTGCAAATTTCATTGAAATAATCTGAGGAAATCATATGTTCACACAATAGCACAATGCTAGGTTCACATATACTGTGACGATCTGAGGCTGGACTTTGTAAAATTTCTTCCATCGTAAACCCGCCCTAGGAAACCCTTGTAAAATAACTCCTTTCCCTCCTCTCAACCTGCCCCGCCGTCGCTCAGCACGAGTGAGTTCCCTTGTGATATTGTATTCCTGCATCAGTTCGCTCACCTCCCGAACATGCTATTTGCGGTCAACCATCCCACCGAACAACCTTGAGGAAATAATACCATTCCCCCCCTCATTTTTGCCCTGTAGACAGCAAGGCGGAGTATCGTCCCTTGCTGGAAATGCATTGTCTAGACAGAGAACTCACGCCAAAGCCTGAAAAAGGATGGTCACCTCAGTCCGATTAACCTTGAGGGTTGAAGGTCAAACCCGCAACAGTGAAAGTGATTTTCATTGGATGGAAAATTGACCCCTCATGTGAATCACCCAATTGAACCATCAGCTAATCGTCATCGAACTCGAATAAATAGCCTGAACAAGCAAGATTCTGCCTTTTATGATCTGATCACCTGACGGTGAATGCTGGAAGGATCTGCACTCAGAACTTCGTCAGCATGATACATAACTGCATCCTAGGATATTAGCAAGTACATGACTTTTAAGATCTGATCACTTGATTGTGGACGCTTGAAGTGACTAGACTTAATACTTCACTGGCGTGATACTTAACTGCGACTGCTACCTAGAGTACTACCTGGTTTCTACTACTGGACCGACTTACCTTGAGCTGGAACTAGGGGATTGATCTACATCCTACACCAAACTACCTGACAGCTAGGACTTCGAGATTCAGGGACTCTCACCACCACGATTTATCGCGGGAGAGTCATCTTCCCCTCGCAGACATCCCAAGGACTCTACGACCGGGAACTCCGACTTCGCTACGCTCAGAACAGCACCGAAGGCCGGAACAGGAACACGCTTCTTGAACAGAAGGACTCCCACACTGTGTGATCCACCGAGACCATCACAGAAACTATAAAGGCTAAGTTTACCAAGATCGAGCATAGAACTTGAGCAATATAGCAGTAGTAATGATGATACCGTCTGTATGTTAGGGACACTTGCTTTGTGTTAATATACCTTTCTAATTGGATGAAATCCGTTTGATGTATATACATTGAGCACCACGAGTGTTTCACGTAGGAAGTTGTAAATATTATTGTGTAATAAATATTTGTAGTTAATTTCACCTTTAACTAAGACTTCGTTTCAGTCTATACTATATGTATATAGATAGGTGTTATGTCCGTGTGGTTATTCGGCTTAAATAACATATCCCTAGACAGAGTGCCAAGAGCAGATCTCATACGAGAGACACTCCTCTCTAATAAGTCATAAGTCAGATCACCACATATACAATAATTAATTGCTATGATCTCACATACAATAAATCAATGCCAAAATTTTACTTTCACTGTAAATTTAAATTTTAATATTTGCTGTACATAAAATATGAAATGATAAACTTATGAGGTTTGATGTATGAAGTAATGTATGTCTGGTATAAAATAACATTTCATTCTTTGTCTGGGGTTCTTCAAATTGTCCAAATTCTTGTTAACAATTAGCTGCTTGGCTTCTTTAAGTGAGTGTTGACATTTTTTATGCAACAGTTTGAGCGAAACAAATAATATTTAGAATATATATTGAAAAAGGCAGTTACTGTTACTTTACACTTTATATCCACATGATGCCAGTTAGCATCTATGTATAAAATATCAACAAGAAAAATGCATGAATTCTCTCCCCCTTGTCATGCAAGCATTCTAAAATGTTTTGATCCTCCTTAAATAGATACACCACAACATTTAATGCAGCTTAAAAGTCAGATGTAATCAAATGTTGATTTTTTTATACAGATCAATGGATATTTTCTAACAAAAATAGACTCATTATTTAACTTTGATAGCACTTCAGATATAATTAATTGAATAATTCTGCTAGTTATAGAAAAACAGATTGCTATGTTTCAATTAACAAAGTTAATTACATATCAACTTTTTTTAAACACTTCCTGAGTTTACTGTCTCATGTGGATTTGAAGGACTTTAGTGACTCTCATTCTACTATGCATTATGGGGGGGGGTGAATTTTGTTTTTTAGATCCAACATCTATTGTACAAGAAACTGGAATAGCTACTATTTTACAGCAATGGGGCAAATCAAGGTTATTTACACATCAACCAGGTATTTACACAGCAATACATTCCTTATTTCATGTCAATACATAGATTCTATTAGGTTTACTTCTTTGTGAAATTCTTGTCTAGGTCCACTTTGGTTCGTTGAATGTTGTACTTGTTACGCCGTATTCTGTCTTCCACTGAGCTGGTTGAGGCATGGTCCACCATCATGGAGCTAAAATAACAACACAAAAAATTCTTAAGAATAATACTAATAACAAAGTATGCATGGGTTGGTAAATATTACAGATCCTCTGATTAAATTAACTGTAAAGCATGTTCATGTCCCATCCACAAAAAAAAAGAAGAATTTTTAGCCTTCCACAGATGGAAGCAAAGTTGAAGTTAATCTAAACTGAGTAGAACCCAAGGAATAGGGTGGTGCCCTAGACCAAACAACATTTCCTTTAAGCAAACGTCCAATAGCTTCTGATGTATACACATGACAGAAGGATGGGGTAACAAGGCATTGTGGTAGAACTTGCTTTCACTGAAACTCCACCAGTTTTAACAGACACAAACCTGAGGAATCCACTGCCACCTTGTCTCTCCATGTCTTTCCTCTCCCTTTCTTGTTCCTCCTCTCTGTACCTTTTGACATTTCCTTCTCTCTGTTCTTCTCTCCACTCAGCATTCTGCATCATTTCTGCCAGTTTCTTCTCTTTCTCTTCAGCTGTCAGTTTCCTGTAGATGAAAGAATAAGGCTCAGTTAACACGATCAAGTTCCTTTAAAAATTTCGTTCATACATTTGATGCGATTTTTGTGTGAAGCCTTGTCACAACTTTCTAATTATTATTTGATCAAATTCTCATTTAAAAAAAAAAAAAAGGAACCACACACAAAATAGTGCGTTAAAACAAAAATTTGACGGAAATTTGAAAGGAATTTGATCGTGTGAACTGATGCTAAGTCATATCATAGAAATCTGTCCTGTAAATAAAGGAATATGAATGTTGTTGTAATTTTTTTTCCTTGCGCATCTATACTAAGGGATGGTGGTGGACATTTGCACTCTATATAACTTCTATTATTATAAGTTAATATATGTGAAAATATAACTTCCTGAGGTCACAATAGAGGCAAACAAGCAGGGTGAGAATGAAATGCTGCTTTCTGTATACCTTTGTATACTTATAAAAGAATTTTTATTCCATTCTAAGTTTGAAAATTGGCAGTGAGGATTAGTTTGCTAAACCGTGCATAAGGCAGCTAGCTGCAGCAAATAGAATATTCTACATGTTCACAGCTGACAAAGATTAATTCAAAATTAGTTCATAACTATAAAAACATTAAACTTGATTAAACTTAAACCATGTCAGAATGTTAAAGCTATTCAACAATTTTTGGGAATTTAAATTTTTTAAAAATATTCATAAAACATTTCTAGAGTATTTAGCTCATATTCATCTTGATTTGAAATTTTACTCAGCATAAATTTACTTTAAGCACACTTGTAATTACCGTCTTGGGAGAGTTGGGACTCGTACAGGTTTGGGTTTGCCAGTGGACCTGAGCGTGCTGGGTGTTGAAGATGTCTGCCTAGGTTTTGCCGAGCCCGACATCTAGAAAATAAATGGAAATATCCAATGTATAAAGGAAACACAGTAGAACGGATTTTTAAATTTTAGGTTAAATTTTTAAGCAACACTGAGTGTCCTGAATAGCTTAGGAATCTAAATTTTATTAAAAAATTTTTTTTTTTGTCGCTATATCAGTATCTTCATTTATAATACATGTTCTATTCAATGAAACTTACAATCAGGCCATATTGCCGACCAGTTGTAGCACTTGTGTTGTGAGATGAAACATGTTCATCTGCAGAAGTGGAGGAGGATGATGAGCTGCTACTGTGCCTCATTTTATTTCTGGGTTCCTTCCTCTCTTTCTCAATCTCCTCATCTGAACTGGTTGATCCTTTCCTCCTCCTCCTGACGTCAGATTTTCTGGTCTGGTTTACTTTTGTGTCTTCTTCTGATGAAGAATGCCTCCTTTTTTTAGAACTGTTTTTTTGAATTTGGTCTTTTTTACCTCTGACCTCCTTGTGGGAACAATTCCTATCTTTGTTATTAGATTTAGCATTAACTTCATCTTCACTGTCCTCACTTCTGTTTATCCCCTTAAACCTGTCATAACTCTGCCGTCTCTCAGTTCCTGTGTCACGGTAACTTTCTTTATCTCTTACCCGTGTCCTATCTCTGTCCTCACTACTGGAAAAATCTCTTCTGCTTTTCCTGTAATCAGAAACTCTATCTTTGTCACGGCTTAAGTCTTTTCTATTGTTCCTATCACCATCAAATCTTTCTTTCTCACTACCGGTACTGGAATCTCTTCTGCTTTTCCTGTTATCAGAAACTCTATTTTTGTCACGGCTCAAGTCTTTGCTATTGTTCCTTTCACCATCAAATCTTTCTTTCTCAATACCAGTACTGGAATCTCTTCTGCTTTTCCTATTATTGGAAATTCTATCTTTGTCCCTGCTAAAGTCTTTTCTAATTTTCATATCACCATCCAATCTTTCTTTCTCACTACTGGAATCTCTTCTGCTTTTCCTATTATTGCTATTTCTATCTTTGTCATTTCTGAAATCTTTTCTATTTTTCCTATCACCATCAACTTTTTCTTTCTCACTACTTGAGTCTCTCTTACTTTTTCTATTATTAGAATTTCTGTCTTTGTCACTGCTAAAGTCTTGACTATTTTTCCTATCAAATCTTCTTGTCTCAGCACTAGATTTGTTTTTACTACTTGTTGATTGTTGTCTACTCTTATGCCGATTAAATCGATCCCGTGAGGTAGATCTGCGTCTTTCATTTTTTTCTTTCCTCAATGTCTCCTTGCCTTGTTTGTACCCCGGTCGTGTTGAGTGCATCTGATTTGTATGAGAATTAGTTTTACTATTATTTTGCTTGCGCCTGCTGCCTTCTTCCTCACTGTTTTCATCACTGTCATCCCCTCTCCAACTCATATCTGCTGGGTTTTTTTCTTTATTTTTCCCTTCTTCCTCTTGTTTAGTGGTCAGGATGGAAAGATATTTTTTCATGAGCTCGTCGTCTTCATCACTGTCATCACTGCTTGAAGCTTTCTTCGATTTGTGCTTCTTTTTCTTCTTCTTTGACTTTTTCTCTTTCTTTGTCTTTTGTTTCTGTTGTTCATCTATCTGAAAACAAGCTTCTACATTTAGTACCGGTAAGTAATTTTTTTTTTTTATAGTTACCAAACAAAATAGTATTATTTTTAGTAATTAATCTGCTGATTCATCTTTGAATATCAATTTTATTGCAAAACACAATTCTAAATTTTGAAATATGTCCAGATTTGTATTATTTTATCAATCTAAAATGTTACTAATTAAAATTTAAGGCAAAAAACCCAGCCCACCATTAATTCTATCAAGAAAAAAAAAATTAATTGCTATATTTTTTAAATTAAACAATATTTTCCTTAAAGATGTCAAAAATAAAACATTACCAATTTTTGAAGCTCCTTCATTTTTATTGGATTTTCCAATAGCTTTTTTCTTGATTCTTCCTCTCTTCGTCTGTAGCAAACAGAAAATTTTGCATTAAACTCAAATTGATTTTAAAATTAACTGCACACCGTTCTTGAATATAAAATTAGCTAAAATAATAATGCTATAACAAACTATTAGGTAAACTTGTATCTATTGTTTAATAGTTATTCATATTATAAAAAAAAATCCATTCAAATAAAACTTAAATTGGGTTGAACACATTAAACAAATAGTGGTCGAAAATTCAGTAACCGTATAGCAAACAGGGGATCCTCTCTCATTTTAGCTGCAACATCCAAGGCAATGTTTGCTTTGATTCTTTCCCCAAATATGACACTAGCTTCATCTGTTCAATATAATAAATAAATCAATCGTTTAAAGAAATTCAAAATAATGAACATTTAACTATTAAATAAAAGTTCCAAAAGTATGCCTAGTGGTAAATTTATACAAAGCATAATTTTGGAGGCACACTTGTTATTTTTTATCACAGAATAAGAAAGGGATGGGTTTAAATTGAATAATGTTTTTATTATTCAGTGAATTTTAGCCACATGTTGCTGCCGAGTCATTTAGTTGCATGATTCAGTGTTATTTTTAAAACTCAATGTTTAAAAGAAAATGCAAGATAGTCATAACAATATAAATCCACTTTGCACCTTCCTTCTTGTCCTGTTCTCCCTCTACATGTTTGTCAATACGCTTTCCCAGTAAGTATTCCTCGCTGTCCGGTTTGTTATCTTTGTACATCCATCCAATACCAGCTACAGGATCTCTAGGATTGAAAAAGAAAATAAATTGGCAGTGCACTACAAAAATTTTAGGAGTTAACTTAAGATCCTTACAGTAATTTGTAGAGAAACTATTCACTAAAAACTGGGCTTTACACAGCTGTAAATTTAAGATAGTGTAGGTCACATTTACTTCATTTAGTTTTATATAATCGATTACACTTATAACTCTCACACATAAAACATGTGAAACTTCATCTTCTAAAAACACTGATTTTCTGTTTAAGAAATGAGGAAGTCTCATTATGAGGAAGTCTCATTATCTATTTAAATGTACCAACTATGCTATGCAGTGTTAATTACATCATTTTAAAACATGATTTTACACTGGTGACCTAACCATGTACCAATATATAATGTTAACACTTGGCTTCGTTATGCCCCAAGCTATTCACCTGCATAAATGGAAGGCTGTAATTCATATACAGGTAACATGCATATTGAATGGTTTTACTTATGTATATAATTTCTATAGCTGCAGCTATTAGCAGACATCATTACATATAAAACAACAACCGAAACCTCAAGAAAATAGATATTCCTGCCTCCTGAACACAATATTTTATAGATTTAAATGCAAAGTTACATACAGCATACCTTTTCTCTTTATGCAATGCTGCTATTTTCATCTTTTCCTCTGCATCAAGTTTATCCATTGTTGATGGTACAATGCTCAGATCCAGAAAATTTAAATAGATTGAATGATCTAAAATAAAATATAATACTAAAATGCAAAACTACTTTGTTAATAGAATTTAAATATTGCACAGTTATAGCATTATGACTCATCAAATTTTTTCACATAATTTTTAACCCCGAGTATAACATTTTAATAAATGCTTATGTTGTAATGCAGGGCCTAATAATTTGTATTTATTTTTTCTTCTGTACACTTCTACGGGGGACGCGTCATGAGAAGTGGCAATCTCCCCCAAGGTGTGAGGCCTGCTGAAGATTCATGTTGTGGACTTTTAGAGTATCCATTACACAGTTGATCTACCACCTGTGTGGTCTTTCTCTGGCCCTGAAATCAAAGTGCTATCATATGTTTGCATTGCAGGTTGATTGACAGGCATTCTGACCCTATTATTCATATATATTCCAGGGGCCGATTAACCTATCAGGCTTTGCCTGATTGGTCTATGGCTTTTTGGGCAGACGTGATGGCTGCTAAAATTTATTCTTATTGTGTAAGAGTTAACAAAAGACAACACAGTTTTAATATTTTTGGTACAGTATTAAGTTATAAAATATTTAGATTCTCTCCTCCATTAAATCATTTCAATCTTATAATATGTGGGTCTCCTTTAACAAGTTCTTAGAAATCTGGCAGGAAGAAAGGTGAGTGACTGAGTGCAATAATTGTGCAAGCTTTTCTGCCAGTGTTGTCTCTCAGAGCTCTGCTCGGGAATCAATTAATTACTTTTTAATTAGCAATCGTCATTCCCCACCCCTTTTTTTTCTTCTATTTTCCCTCTAATTTATCTACTTGAATTTTGAGAACAGGAGGGGAAGGAGGGTGGAAGTATTTATGCTGATGTAGCCTACGCGGCTGGTATTGAGTTAGCGGTAAGGCCGGCGATGTGTTCCACGGTTTGGGAGGTTCCCTCGGGTCCATTTCCGTCTACAGCGCCATACTAAAAAGATTTTGATGTTTGTATTTACATAATGCAAGTTTTTATTTTCTTATTTTATTTTTTTAAATTTGGGAGGGGTACTGGGGAGGGGTCTCCTCTCCCCAGAGAATTTCTATGTTTCTTATTTTGGTATTTAAAGCGAGGGGAGGGGTTTGGGGAGGGGTCTCCCCTCCCCAGTTCCTAGAAGATCATTACAAAAGCAATTTAATTAAGCAAGTCGTCTTACTTTTGTTACCCAAGTTTCAACATATGGGTATTTTCAACTAATCAAAATACAGCAATTTTGGCGGGCGTTTTTTTTTTTTCCACCGGGGTTGGGTCTTGGGGTATCAGCAAGGATGAGTTTATTTTTTCCTTTTTTTTGAAACATGTACGTTGAATTTTAATACAAATTAATTTCAATATACTTCATATTAACCGTATCGTTTATGACGCGAGTAATGCTCAATAAAAAACAGGAATGTTATAACACATCATTCGGGTCCTTCAAAGAATAGGTCTATTCACCATAAGTCCAGTGTTGGGATTCCTCAATGTGACGTCACTGCGCTTAGGGTGAGAAAACTCTTGACGAAAACCCATACCGTTAACTCAAGTTTTACCGCCTACTTTGTCTGAGAGACAAATAATTAATGGCCTGGCAAATCATAGCAAGATATACAATTTGTTATATACTTTGGCTTAGAGGAGAGTTGGGCCTATCAACAAACTCAAACATTCCCCATAAATGTTCAACAAGTCCAGGAGCCTGTGCCAATCATCCAAATTGCCCAGACATAGGATTTTTTTGACAACCATCCATTTGGGTAATGTCAATGCAAATGTTCGCTGTTTGTTGCAAAACTACGAGACCTGGGCAAGGTGATTTCAAAAAGTCCAAGGGACTGGTAGCAGTTTTACATTTTTTAAAATTTGACTTTAAATATTCATTTTGTGTGGACAGTCAACGCAAAAGCAAGGCTTGTGAATTGGTGCAGGACGGCGGAACACCATTTTTTTTACCATTATTACTTTATTATTAGTTATTAGTACGGTAATTAAAAAAATTAGGGAAAGCAGCTAGCACATATGACATGAGGCTGATGTCGTAGACTCGTAAACCGTGTTTTAGCCTAATTTAAATTCAATACAACAAAAAATAAGGAGCTACCAAAATAAGTATAATGCGAGTGTTTTTTTTTTTATAAATGAGATGCATAAAATATCGTAGGTTCGGATTACTAAGATAATTTCTACTCACTAGTATCATACAATTCTCTACAAATTTATCAAACATTGAAATCAATCCTCTAGTCTGTGCAGTAATAAATATTGTCTTCGTTTTAATTTTCGATGTTTACTATTATAATTAATGCTATTTCTATTTCTTTTGAATTTAATTAAATAAATATTCCCATGAGCCATATCAGGGATCGGCAACCTTTTTTTAAAAAAAATTCTGGATAAAAATATTTACTGGTAATTAATGTAAGATAGCTTTGTCGACCTGAAACAAAATAAGAACCAATAAATGGCTAGTAGTAAAGTAAAGTAATAATAATAATAATTAATAGTACTTAGTCTTAGTACTAGTGCCAAGTGCTATTAGTATTAGACAGGTGGCCTAGGATATATTATGCGATAGGATCTTCTGAATTTGATCGGGCTTCTGTTTCACTGCATCATTAAATGTATTTTATAGCTGCATTATTGGCGATATTTTTTTAAATTAAAAAAATCATTAAAATTTTTGAAAAAAAAAACAACGTTTTATTTACGCAAGAAAATATCGAGTTTAATGTAAATTATGTACTTTCGTGAATTTTCGGGAAAAAATAATCATTGATAAACACTGGGTCAAAGGTCAAAATTCTGAGTTGAGAGGTCAAACTTGTTTTGTATTTACACATGGGAAGAACGGACGCAAACATCTCGAGTGAATTCCATTGTTTGACTCGATATTTCCAGAACTGCTTATGGAGGGGTATAAAAACTATGCAGATGTTGGTGTGTATCAGTTGTACGAGCAAAACGAAGACTTTCTACATAAAAGGAACGCCACACATTGTAAAGAATGTTTGCCATTACACCCCGCTTTGACGACCTCGGTCTGTTTCGCCTTGCTGATGAACTCAATAACTGCTGGGATTTGGATCGCACTCCCCTGATTCAAGCTATGGGAGCAAACAGGGAATCAGAGGTAATTATATGTCTAACTTTAATTTGCTATTGCTGATTGATAATCTTGATTTTCAACATTATAGGCCCTGTTATTCAGAAGGTACAAGGTGGCCTTTTTTATTTCAGGCTGAAGCTTGGCTTAGGCTTAAGGAGGTGACAGGTTTTTAACTTTAGTTGTGGTCTTTACTATCACTAAGACTAAGAAGAAGTAAGAAGTAATAAAGTGTCCTTTCCGCTTTACTTTAGTAATTAAACTTATTTAGTATTGATACCAGGTACGCAATTCAATGCAACCTATTGAATTTACTATAATTAAACCATAATTTAATTAATAATTAATATGAATAAAATTGTCTTCTGACGTCTGATATTAATAAGCCCTAGGCCCAGGCCTGTAACTATTACTATTACTATTAGTATTGTCTATTAACTTGCTATATACTATGCTATACCATACTAAATGATATATGGGTGGCTGTGCCTATATACTATATGAATGCCATTATTAATTTAAATAAATTAAATTCAACATTTCAGTTCATTTTCAAATTTTAAACTACATTGTTACTTTTCTAAACAATGTATAATTGTAAAGGGTGCCACATATTTAATAAAATAATTAATACTGTCAATTTCTTTATTTTTTAGATGTAAATTACTAATACACTTAAGTACTGTCATGACCTATGATAAATGCTAATAAAATATGCACATAAACCTGATTTTCCCATTACACTCTCCCCCCCCCCCCCCACCCCCCCCCCGAGAGTGTGGACAACCCTGGTTAAGAACCCCTGCAATAACACTTGTCTAAATGAGTTATGAATAATAATAAAAACTTTGTGTCTCTGTTAAAACTGCTTCATGCAATATGTTTACTGTCTGGCTTCTTTCAAAAGAAATTAAAATAGCACCAAGTATGTTTGACATTGATGTATTATTTGTGCGTGATATTTGACTCTTTGTTCTTGGCTGTATTATTTATACCAAGTTAATTAGTCCAAATCTGTGGATTTTAAAACCATTTTTTCATGCAATTGTAGCAGGTTACATTTAGCTAACAATTTGTTTTGCTTTTCAAGGTTCAAAATACTGACAAAGAATTCAGAATTCGTTGTGATTTGAGACACTTCAAACCAGAGGAAATCAAAATTACCTCTGATAACCAGCGTGTGACAGTCCATGCAAAGCATGAAGAGAAGGAGGACAATCACGGCTTTGTGTCTCGTGAAATCTGCAGAGTTTACAAGCTTCCAGAGGTAGGCAGAAAGTGTCAAAATGTTTTTTTACTTCTCAGACAGACTCAGTGAGGAATCCTTTGTTCACTTTGGTTGTTTCCTAGGCCTATGCATATCTTATTTTCCTTCTAGCTATACAATTTAAATGTAAAACATAAGGGCCCATCCATGTGTAGTGTACACAAAAGAAAAATTTCATACCCCCTCCCTCTATTGCCCCCATCAATTTTGGAAACCATTAAGCCATACAAAAAAGATACACACCCCCCTTCCCTGTTTTTTTTTCTTCAGTTGTTAAAAAAAAAACTCGCTAGTTTTCTCCACTTTCTAACACTAAGCAACTCTGACAATAGATTTCAATAAATGAGACATTGAGATGGTAATATGTTAGCCTTTGAAAATAATGAGTTTCACAGGTTTCCTCTTGGGTAACATTTGGCTTTATGGAGATCTAACTAAATAAGCTAATTATGAAGAGTCAGAACCGCCTCTCCCCCACCCCATAAATAGATTTTTACACTTGTTTTAACTAAAGCTTAGAGCAGCATGATAGCATTGGAAATGTAGTGAAGAGTTTTCATCACCTTAAGTCAGATTTATTTAACACTGGCACTGGTGCATTAAATGTAACTGGTATTTATTCCTTATTTTCAGGATGTTGATGCCAAGTCAGTTACTTCCTCATTGAATTCTAATGGTGTCCTGAAAATTAAAGCCTCCAAACTTGCACTTGAAGCCCCTAAAGAGACTGCAATTCCTATTCAGTTTGCAGGCTGATGTCACAACCATGGATTTTTTATTTAAAATTTTTTTTGGTGTATTTTTTGACATTTTTTGTTTAACTCATTGGATGGCATGTTTAATTTGCCAATCAAGTCCAAATGTACAAACACTTCATTGATTTTGATATTGTAATTTTTTTTTTTTTAAAATAAAAAATGGAAAATAAACATACACAAAAATATTAAAATCCCATCTTGTCTTTTTACTTGATGTTAATTTATGTACCTAAGTTTTATTTAAATTGCATTAGTATATGCAAAGTTCAGTACATGCAGAGATTCATTTCAAAATATAAGTACAATATTTACAGTATCTCTCCTGCATAGGGACAAAACAAAAAAAAAAAAAAAAAAAAAAGAAAAAAAAAATTTTGAAAAAAAAATAAACCAAGAAAAAAAATTTTTAAAAAAGCCTAGTAAAGTTTATTTTATCTAACCAGTTAATATTGTACTTGTATCAAGGCTTGCATTTGTATTTATTAGTATTGTTTGGCAGTGTGCATTGCTGAGTAAATAGAAAAGAAGATAGATACATTTTTAAAGTCCTTTGAAAGATGTTTGGCAGTGTGCATTGCTGAGTAAATAGAAAAGAAGATACATTTTTTAAAGTCCTTTGAAAGATGTTTGGCAGTGTGCATTGCTGAGTAAATAGAAAAGAAGATACATTTTTTAAAGTCCTTTGAAAGATCCAGCCTCTGATTAACATGCACAGCACTAAGTAATTAGAATGGATACTAAAAATAATTTAAAAAATCAAGGTATAGTTAGTGAAAATTATATAGCCAGCCTAATGCTGTAGTATTAAAGTTAAAATAAATAATTTATTTATTTTTTCTTTTCTGATATCCATTCCAATTATTCTTTTTTTTTTAGTATTATTGGAATGGATACTAAAATTGATACCTAGGCTGGGGTACCATGGTATATACAAAAATAATAAAAATAAAAATCAAGGTGTAGGGGAAAATTATATAGCCAGCCTATTGCTGTAGTATTAAAATAAATAATTGAACCAAAGACTTCCATGTAGTAATTGAAAGTATTAATTTAACAAGTGATTAATTGAGGTGACGAACATGAGCACAATGCGATTTAGGTGACGAACATGAGCACCATGTGATTGAGGTGACGAACATGAGCACCAAATGATTTAGGTGATAAACAAGAGCACCACGTGATTGAGGTGATGAACATATGAGCACCACGTGTAAGCTTAGGATATACATGCCTGTGCTTGTGGAGTGTCACTAGTTGGGTGCACAGCGGAGGACACCCTTACAGGGGGGTTACCTCCAACAAAAATGCTAATTTGAAAGAGTTAGCTCGAGTTGGTTTGATGACCAAACTCAGTGAGTACAACAACAGGGTGCCACCAGAACTGTGTGCTACCTAAACATGGTGTCACAAGAACAGGGTGCCACCAGAACAGAGTACCGTCAGAGTTGGTTGCAATCAGAGCAGGGTGCCATCGGAACAGGGTGTTTCAAAATCAGGGTGCCACCAGAACCGAGTGCCGTCAGAGTTGGTTGCAATCAGAGAATGGTGCCATCAGAACAGGGTGCCACCAGAGTTGAGTTCACTAGAATGAGCAGGGTGTAACCAGTGTCAGATTGCCACCAGAATTGAGTTCACTAGACAGAGCAGGGTGTAACCAGTGTCAGATTGCCGCCAGAATTGAGTTCACTAGACAGAGCAGGGTGTAACCAGTGTCAGATTGCCCCCAGAATTGAGTTCACTAGACAGAGCAGGGTGTAACCAGTGTCAGATTGCCACCAGAATCGAGTTCACTAGACAGAGCAGGGTGTAACCAGTGTCAGATTGCCACCAGAATTGAGTTCACTAGACAGAGCAGGGTGTAACCAGTGTCAGATTGCCACCAGAATTGAGTTCACTAGACAGTGCAGGATTCCACGAGAGCAGGGTGTCATTAGCCCAGGTCAGAGGAGGTTCATGGGGATATCAGGAGGTGATGAAGAAAATGGCAGGGACGCAATCAAGAGACGCCGGACTCAATCAAGAGACGCCGGACGCAATCAAGAGACGCCGGACTCAATTTGAAAGAAGAAAACAAAAAGGCGATGCTTGAGTGTATTGGACGTTTTAGATCAAATCTAGAGACTGGTAGGAAGTAGCAGATATTATTGAGGCTGTTCAACCTGATAGTCTACCATTGCCGACTGAAGAAGAGCTGCTGACCGACCACATTCTTAGATGAATTATTTGAATGCGAACTATTAATTGAAGTACCAAGGATGCTGAAAGTAACAAATATTAATCTCGATGAAGCCAAAGTTTGATCAATATTCAAAGTTTTGAAATTCATCGCTCAATAGGTCTTCCTCGAATTTCTCTCAATCCTCTCATTAAACATACACTTATTTATCTTGTCTGTAATTTGATGTGCAGGGAGCTCTTCAAAACTGAAACCTACAAAGAACTATTTGCGATGTACCATGGAGCTGTCAAGGGTTTCTGGTTTTGCAATTTGGTCAGCTGAAAGTGATAAGGGTGAAGACTGTTCATTTTGATAAAGGGATTGACTTGTTTGCATAGTTTAAAGACCAGAAAATTAAAGTTTTAACTGTTATATTTCATGTTACCATAAAAGTTAAATAGAAGACAATTTTGTTGAATGTTTAAAACTCTGCTACATCAATTTCTATGTTTTTTTCCCACCTTTGTCTTTTGTTGCTTTAGGACTTAATTTACAAGCATGACAATAAGCCATTCCAAGTGATCTAGACTTGATGCAGGTCCGTTTGGGGGGCTCTGGAAGAGGGGGGGAGGGGGTGACACAATTTCAACAAACCTACCACACCGGGTGATGCCACCTCTAGTGACCCTCCTGGAAATAGCCAGAGAACTTTTTTTACCACCAGTAAAGCTACACTGCTCAACGCTTGCCAAAAATGTATTTAACGCTGGTCTCCAAGGCTGCAAAATAAGGCATCTCATGAAAGACTAACCACTGAGAAGAAAGCAGCAGCCGATGAGAAGTTTTTCGACAGTTAACATTTCAGGCCCAATACTTGAGATATCGCCACAGCTCATCTTTCATTTATTAAGAGTATGAAAGAATTGTTTAATCACTTGGGTGCACGATAAAATTTAATTCTTCCATCCTTATGGAAAGTTGATTGTACCATAACGTCGTATTAAGCTGTAAGATTACAATAAGTTGTTTAAATTTTAATGTTAACAGATCAGAGATTTTAAAACACCTATTTAACCCCACCACATTGGTGTAAAAAAAAACTATGTTCAAAGTTACATCAAATTCATCTAAAAATGAACATAAAAGCTTAATAGTTTAATTCTTTCTATCCTTAAATATTTTAATTTTCAATGCGTCACATTGTGTGATCACATCTTGGTAGTAGTTTGTAGGAAAGTTAAATTTAAATTGATCATTGCTCATATCACCCTCAGCTGATCATGGCTAATTATAAAATTTCATTTTAAACTGATCATTGATTTTATGAATTTTTCTAGTTCTATTAGACAAGAAGGTGTTGAATATTTTCAAGTGTTTTAGGTGTTATGTTTATTCAACGTAAAGAACTATACATCCACACAACTTAATTTTTCTCTTTATTCCACTATTTTTTTTATAAATTTCATTTACAATTCAAAAGTATATATATATCAATATAAATATATATTTATACACAATATGAGTTTCTGCTTCAAGAGCATTTAAAAGTTAAAAAATGTAACAAGTTTCTGCGACAAGAAACTGCAAATCTAAAAATGCCTCTAGTCTTATCTGTAACCACACCAAAGCCTTTGTCATGGGAGGTAATCATCAAACACTTACTTTGCTGTCTACAAATTCAGAAAGTCACTAATTTGCAATTATTCAAATACAAAAGTTGGGGTCATCCATGTGATGCACACATATTAAGCAACATTTTTCACTCACAACTTTATTACAAGCACCTCTCCCCATTAGCCACATAATGTGGACAACACCATTTGAAAAAAAAAAAAAATCCTGCTTTGAAAATTAACACAAACCAAAAATTTGAACTAGAGTTGACAAAGTGGTTTTATGATTCCCCAGGTAATCACTGGGCAGAGAAACATCTGCTAATAGCTAATCATATTTATTTTGACAATTCAACTTATATGACCTTCCCGCTAGGAATGGAAAAAAACAAAAAAACCAGGGCTCCCCAGATTTAACAGTGCAGTGCAGATCTCCACCATGTGATACAGTTCTGATACATTATTTAAATTAAGATATTCAATAAATTAAATGATATGCACAAGAGATTTATCAAACATATGACACTAAAATAGGACATACAAATACTTACTTATAAATGCGCACATACGAGGTAGTGAGTTACTGATAAATGCCAGAAAAATGAAATTAGCATCACGAGTTGTTCAATCTGAGAAACAAAATGCTTCTTGACCTGAACACTGTAGTATAAATTCAATCACATTTGATATGTATACAATACAATGTGTCATACTTATGTACACAACACAATGTGTCATACTGGTATAATGGGAGGTAGATCAGGAGTTATTGATAAGCATTTGACATCGGCAGAGGTGTGGGGATAACACCAGAGCATATGCCCCTAATGTCATGTATGGAAGTAGGAAAATTTAATAATGGAACCAATAACCGAAAATAAAACCATGTGTATTATACGCATAAATAATTCCCCCCCCCCCCCCCCCCGAAAGTCACACATGCCATGCTATTCCTATTTTATGTGGTGGTCCCCATTCCATATGTCACATCCAAGTGAATATTTTTAAGTTGATTGTAAAAGGATGACATCCATTAAGTGTCTGCTGTGACTCAGCTTTATTCAGTAACTAACTGGCAAACATCTAAATTGTTAATTTAGGTTAATTTTTGACCATTTGACAAATTGTTTTTTTTAATAATTGTCTTCTTATATGCATTCCCATCATATGTGTCTAGAAAAGGGGGGAAAAAATGTGCTTATCATATTCAAGTTTTTTACGTCATGCACATTAATGTCGTTTTCTCAAATAAATGCTCATACATATTTCTCAGTATTGGTTTTGTTAATGAACTGATTGAATTTTTTTTTTAATTTGGTCTAACAGTAATGTCCAACAACAAAGGATATCAAACAAGCTTGAACTCTTTAACTGGGTGTTTGAGAAGCATTGGATCCTCTTGTATCTAACTATCACAGATTAAGCATTTGAATAATGATTTTGTTTTAAAAAACAAAAACAGAATAGCTTTTGCATTTTACTAAAAAAAAAAAACATAGCAGATGTAGAGCAAATTGAGATACATTCTGTAAAAATGTACCTTCAAAGACATTTTCCACATAAAAGTACATTTAAATGAGTGTAATCCAAACAAACAAAGGTACTAAGCGATTAAAATAAAATTTGCTCAAATATGTGCTATAAATAACAACAATTGAACCCAACCATGTTTCAGTTAAATAATTACATATCATTTGCTCCTGGAGCACTTGGCAAACATTTCTAATGAAAGGAACAAACACATTATTTCAAAAAAAATTCTCTTACAACTTTCATATCCTCCCCTTACAGTTTAAAAAAAATAAATATTACTCAAATCTCATGTGCTATTTTACACATGTTTAATCCTTCCCTGATCATCTTCTGTATTATATAGGTCCACGATGAGCAGCTCTACCCACTGCTTTAGATACCTGACTTTCAATCTTAAACTTTATCAGCAGTTCTTGGTGTTGATATTAGTGGTTCCCAAACAGTGGCTGGTTGACCCCACTGATTTTTTATTTCAAAATGCATAAGTTGAAAGTATTTCCCAATAAAATCAACCAATGGAAATAATAAGTTGTGGGAAAACTTGACTCACGTTTTCATGCAAAACCTGAACAAGGTTAATATTTTTATAACAAAGATTTACAATTACTGGCCAGCTCTTTGTAGGATAACAGTTTAATGCTTTAATGATCTTTTCATGAAAGATTTACTTTAAATATATGCAATGTGCATAAAATATAAAGGCCGTTTAAAAAAACAAATTACAAATAAATTGAACAATATGTCCATTTGTTATATTTAAATTATTATATAAAATAGAAGTTAAAATGGTATGCATTCCAAATAAAACTTGGGGGTCCTTTTCAAGTAATAATCATTAAGGAAAAAAAAATGTGTTCATTTTCTTTGATGCTATTTGACAAAGTTTTCTTTGATGCTATTTGACAAAGTTTTCTTTCACTGCATCCTTTGGATTTTTCTTTGGATTTTTAAAATATAATAGTTTATAATAAAGTTCACATTATCTAGACCAGCGGTTCTCAACCTGTGGGTCGCGATCCCTTGGGGGGGGGTCACCACAAGACCATTACACAGAGTTGCCTAGGACCATAGGAAAACACATATTTATGAAGTAGCAAAGAAAATCATTTTATGGTTGGTGGTCACCACAACATGAGGAACTGCATTAAAGGGTCGTGTCATTAGGAAGGTTGAGAACCACTGATCTAGGCCTCGGGAGCAGTTTGAAAAAAAAAAAAAAAAAAGAGAGAATTATGAATCAATTATCTTTTAGGACAGTTCTTGACAGGTATAAAAGGGTCGTGTCATTAGGAAGGTTGAGAACCACTAATCTAGGCCTCGGGAGCAGTTTGAAAAAAAAAAAAAAAGAGAGAATTATGAATCAATTATCTTTTAGGACAGTTCTTGACAGGTATGCACTGTCCATTGTGAAGTGCCTGGCCAGCTTGACATCTGCATCCCTCCACACAGCGTTCAGGACAGGGGTCGTGTCCAGATGGGTCAGTGCATGTCCTCTCACAGATCTCTCCGCACGCAATACGGTTGGAATTGGCAGGGCAAGAATCTAGCCCTGTAATAATCAACAGGTTAAGAGTAAAGATGAGGTTCACTTAATTTCACACAGGTGACAAGGTGTAAACATCTACAACTGGGTAATCCATCAAATTGTCTACTTCTTTTATCTAATAAACATTGCCATCAAATTGATAAGTTCAAGGGATGAAATTATTACTGCAAAATATTCAAATGTCAAATCATGATCATGTCTTTTAATACATGGCGAAAAAAGGGCTCTGTCTCCAATCCAATCAAAAAAAGATTACACAGCATTTCTTTAGTCTTTGAAAGATAAATTACTATTTTAAAAAACTACACCTTTGGGTAATTTGAAAAAGACAACCCCCCCCAATTCATTTCTTTGCATGTCTTTTGGGATAATAGTAGAGCCAGGCAAGAAAATTTGGCCTCGGAGGGTATCATGGTGGTCGGAGGAAACATGTTAACAATTAAGCTTTCATAACACAAGATGGAATCATTCTGTTGTAAATATATATAAATCTAGGCGGCCTGCCTGATAACAGGTTGGTAAATACTTTAAATCAATCCTTCAGTGCGCATTGAATGTTGACTTATAGAAACTGACAGTTGGGATTGTGATGGTCCACACAGCACAGAACAGGTATAAACCATCATAAAATCAATGAATGGAATTGAAACATTTTCCCGTCTTTATTTCTAATCGCTGTGAATTTTTGTCATTGTAATCACTTAGATTGGTGCTTTAAGTGAAGAGTGAAGTGAAAGATTTCACCATGACAACTGAGGCACCAAATTTTGTGTTGGCCAGTGTTATATATAGCATTTATTCTAACAATGTGAATACCATGAAGTCGAACAATTTTTCTATTAATTAATATATATGCTAGGCTTCAGCCATTAATACAAGAGTTAATTATACCATAATTTTAACGTAATATAAGAAATTCAATATTAATTTTAGGCTAGTATTATTTGAACATTAATAACTAAATTAATGTCAATATTTAGGAGACAAAATGGAACATTTTAAACCTTTTCAGCCCTGACCTTGACAGTTTAGTGACTTGTCCCATTTCACCTTGATCCCTGACCTCGAGCACTGGCTAATGAAGGCCATAATTGCTTCACAAGCGCAGTATCGACCATCTGGACAGTCACACATGTCAGTAATACAAGAACTGTAGGGCAGAGTGAAGAGATTTTTTTAACCCAGGTAAAGACACTCTCTTCAATTCAGTGGACTAACAAGACTACAATACACAGCCACATTTTTCAGTGACTCAATAAGATAGAAATTTAATTTGAATCAATGTCATAAACTCATACTAATACTCAACTGTATAAATATAACAAAATACACAAAGACTTGCGACAATTACTTCAGTCAGTAAATTCATTTACAAGATACAATGTATAAAATATATTATCTAATGTGTACAAAGGCATGTTCAGAACAAATGTTTGACTTATTAAAATTGAATAATCCAATCCCTTTTAAATGGCTCCTGCTAATTGTTTTAATTGTCACATGTATCCTAATTTCTAAAACTAAAACATGTTGATAGCCATGTGGGATAAAAAAAATTCTGAAGTGTTTTTTTTTTTATGATGGTTTTAAGTGGTTTGACTGCAGATCAGCCCTCAAAGAGACCTCAATGGTCCCTCAAAGAGACCTCAATGGTCCCTCAAAGAGACCTCAATGGTCCCTCAAAGAGACCTCAATCGTCCCTCAAAGAAATGTCAAATTAAAACACTTTAATGAAATTTTTAAAAGTGGATGAGATGTAAAAATATTTTAAAGGTTTATTTCACTCACCCAACGTAGTCATCCGCTGGGATTTTTTGCCTGCACTTTGAAAACTCTCGGCTGTAGAAAATGCTGCACACAGATTGTGACCGTTGGCGGGCAACTGGATTCTTATCACACGGAGACTTGACCTCAATAAATTGGGGCTTGAGCTGACAGGCACGGCTGCTGCCCACTCTCCAGGAATGCCCGTAGTCATCTCCAGTCATGTACATCGTACCATCTTGACCAATCAGGTCATCTGATTTGATCCCATTGTAGTTGCCACAAAGACCACACAGCTTGTGCTTGTACTTGGTCGTCACGGTAACCTCCAGGAAGCTGTCCCCATCCCAGGTCACCTCCAGCCCGAGGTTTGTTTTCATCCTGACCAGCTCGCCATCTTTGATAATGGAAAACTTTCCGGGTTGGGTGTAAGGGAGGACGGCGCGATGCTTGTCAACTTTGACAACGGACTTCTGCAGCATGGAGATCCTGTGCTTGTAGACAAACACGACAAGCATCTGTGTCCAGGCGTAGCCTGAGGTGAACCTCACACCGTTCCTGACCTTGATGAGGAAGTCCTTGTTAGAGCAGTCCTGTGCCAGGACATACTTGCAGGTGCCTTGGAAACTGTACATCAGTCCGTCAAAAGTTCGGTAGTGTGGATCTCCAAACACTGAGCACACAGCTTCATCTGTGTGGGACCGAAACAACACATGTGTGCTTTTATTAAAAAAGGGCTGTCAAACAAAGTCAATGGAGTATCAGATCAAATGCTGTCAAATATGGGGCAGTAAAGGGAAATGCTGTTTAGCATGAGGCTGTAAAATAAAAGGCTTCTTAACAGCAGGGCTGCAAAACACAAAGCTGTCATTCATACATACGGTACCCCATAAAAATCTACTACAACCAGACTTTTGGTTAAAGGTCATAGGTGGGAAGTCCAAAAATAGATGACAACAAATTACATACGTTCAATACATTTGGGGCAGCATTCTGCCTCAGTCAGCAAGAGCTTGAACCCTTGAGGGCACCACAGAGAGTTGCTGCACTTTTCTCTTTGACAGTATGTCACGCCGTTGTCACAAGTACACTGCATGCAAACATTTGGCCGCCACTCTTCACTATGCTGTTTGGGATACCATTTCAAACATTAGGCAAGACCTTTGCAGTGTGATGTTTGGGAAACATTTACAGAAAAATTAGTATATTATAGCACTGACGATATACTAATTATATCATTGAAATAATGATATACTACTTGTATCACAGAAATAATGATTTACTACTTACATCACCCAAATAAGGATATACTGCTTACATCACAGAAATGATGTTATACTACTTATATCACAGCACTGATGATGTAGGCCTACTACTTATATCACAACAATTGTGATGTACTACTTAAATACAACAGCTTCAATGGCCAACATACCTTGTAGGAGGTGCCCTCAAAGGTACAGTCTTTCTTTTCTTTACACTTCATACAACAACTGGAACTGTTCATGGGTAGCCTGTCCTCTGCCAGACAGTCCAAGCTTGGACACGTCTCAGTTTCACACACAGCCGTCCTCCTCTGAAATAATGTACAGAAGTAAGATATAAATCTATTAGCCAGACTACTTTTGTTACATCAGGGCCACGTGTCTTTAAATCAGGGCTACATGGCATTACACCATGGCTACATGGCATTACATCAAGGCTTCATGGTATTACATCAAGGCTACATGTCATTACATCAGGTCTTCATGTACTTACCTCAAGGCTGCATGTCATTACACCAGAATTACATGTCATTACATCAAGGCTACATGTCATTACATCAGGGGTCTTAATCTTTGTCCAGAGACATCTTGGTGGTTCAAAGATATATTAAACTTATTAAATGTACCACTTCTAGCTCAAACAATTCCTATTTTTTGACACTACGTCATATTACACAGACATTTAGCACATTAAAGAAGTCACTCACCCTACGGCACAGACATTTAGCACACTGATGTGGTGTGAATCTCTCATCTTTGTTGTACACTCTGTCAGCGAACAGACAACCCTTTGGGTCAAAAACTGTGCGAGTTCCTGCAATGGGAGAAATCATACATCAAAATTTCATTTTTATTAAATATAATATATAATACATTTACATCTTAACATCGTACTACAAGATGTGAAAGCTGTAGACATTCTTTGAACATAAAAAGAGTTTTATTGCACATAGAATGTCAACATTTATTAACAAATAAAAGCATTAACAATAAACTAACACATGCATAAAAAGTGGTAGCAGCTGTTATTTTAATAATTTGTCCCCGGAGAGAGGATGGACACACACCTGAACCAAATAACAAGAGTTTAGGGGTCGTTCGCAAATTACGTCATGCAAAAAATGACCCTTTCAGACCCCCCTCCCCTGTCACAAATTCTTTCACCCCCTCCCTTAGTGTCACGTCACACCTAAAAGAATTCAAAACATACACACAATTTTCATAACTAAAATAAGATTTTATTCTCTAATATTTTCACATAATGGATTAAGATGTAGTATTATAAGAAAAACTGTGACTTAAAACAACGAAGTTCTCCCCGAGCCAAACGTAAAATGGCCACAACAGTTTTTGCATTATTTTTTTATATGGGGACTGAGGTTCACGGTACCAATAATAACAGAGGCAATGTCGACCTCAAATTAATGTTTTTAAATTAATTGAATAAAGATTTTTCAAAACTAGAATTTTAGATTTGGGAAAAAAAAAAAAATGGGAGTCACAATTTTTGACTCCCTCCCCTTCCCCCACCCCACGTCACAAAGTGTCACAAATTCTCTGACCCCCCCTCCCCCCCTGAGCATGACGTAATTTGCAAACGACCCCTTGTCTGATAAATTAGGGACTGACCTCGACATTTGGGACAGCACTCATTCTTGGGCTGGTAAATGTAATCTGATTTACAGTTGAGGACTGGGCACTGCTCACGTTCACATGCGATGTTTCCGTTCTATCAAAGAAATCAAAGACAGTGCTTGGGATAAAAAATGGGTCAAGTTAAAATTGGATCTTTACACTGACAGTACAGTCTGTTCAGGATAAATGTAAGAGACCACCCTATCGGTGACCACCATATGACCTACCCTCTGAGGGGAGGGGGAGGTGGCATTAGCAAGTTTTGTACAAAGGTGCATACAGGGAGGGGGATATACTATTACAAACACAAGTCGTACTGACAGATGGCATACCTTACAAACACAAGTCGTACAAACAGGTGACATACCTTACAAACACAAGTCGCACAAACAGGTGACATACCTTACAAACACAAGTCGTACAGACATCAGTTGGCAATTTAAAGGTTTCCGATTCATTGTATGTCTTCCCGCGAAAATAACAACCTGGAGAAGAAAACCAAGTAACCATGTTAAACTAGCTGTCTTAAGGCACCGCTTGTTGACAGTCTGTTGGCAAGTTATCAGCAACTTTTTGTGTTGTTATCAAATTTCTATGTGCACCAAGAAACTGAAGGATGTAAGGGACCCACTGGCAAATGACAAAAGACTGTATCCAGTGAATAAAACACTGACTACTTTTTCAAGTGCTAGTGTTTGCATTATTACCTAGTCCTTAGAGATACACTCTGTTTTCTTAAACAATGTTAAATTCCTATTGTTTGTTGAATATAAGGATATTAGTTCACTGATCCCCCCCCCCTCCCCTTTGCAGGATAGAATGAAGTTTTTTTTTTTTTTTAAATAGCACCTTGACACACTGGACAGCACTGACCAGGCACAGGAAGTGAATTGTAACAGTACGTAAAACACTGGACTTTGGAGACGGTCACCACGCCTGCCTGTGGGAGTGATCAAAATGGAATGCTGTGATATGTTTGAGCCACTTGTGTATGTTAACTCGAACCCACCCATGCCACACATAAATGTCATTTCAAATTGTAGCAGCATGATACCATCACCCTACAATCTCTTTATTATGTCAGCCTCAGAAGTGATCTCTTTTAATGTTGTTAAATGTTTTGTCACCACTCTGTCATAGTTTGTCACTAGCTATTGAAAGCTTCCTTTAATTAGATACAATACACTTGATTATTATGACAATAAAATACTAATCTCTATCAGTTTGAGTCAAATTTCCTTACATTATTTTTTATTTTTTGTATGTTCTCATAAAAACAAAACGTTCAAGGGTCGACTCTACATCAACACAAAAAAAATACCTAATATATTTTATAAAGTAGTGTGTCACCCTTCTGATGGTGATATTCGGTGCTGTCCATGATGAACGGCTGACCGGCTATCCCAACTGAAAACATCCTCTCGATGTAAAGTGATTGAACTTTCCACAACTGCGAGATCAATTCAGGGGCAATAACTCCCCCAACATTGACTATCTCTTTGTTCCCGATAAATCGAGAGTTATGTCCCTCAAGCAATGTAATACATTCGAATAATTTTCTTGCGTTAAAAATAAAAGTAAAGAGAAAATGATACCAGCTTTCAATAAATTACTATTTAAACCAATCCACACGACTGGGCGTCCAACACAAATGCATGCAATTAGATTCTTTTGCTACATGGAAAATTTGAGGGAAAGAAGAATTACAGGACCCACTTTAAGTCTCCATCTCCAGATCCCAAAACTCAGACATCACCTTCAGGTCCAAAACTCAGACATCACCTCCAGATCCCAAACTCAGACAACACCTCCAGATCCCAAACTCAGACATCACCTCCAGATCCTAAACTCAGACACCACCTCCAGATCCCAAACTCAGTCAACACCTCCAGATCCTAAACTCAGACAACACCTCCAGATCCCAAACTCAGACATCACCTCCAGATCCTAAACTCAGACACCACCTCCAGATCCTAAACTCAGTCAACACCTCCAGATCCTAAACTCAAACATCACCTCCAGATCCTAAACTCAGACACCACCTCCAGATCCTAAACTCAATCACCTCCAGATCCTAAACTCAGACACCACCTCCAGATCCTAAACTCAGTCAACACCTCCAGATCCTAAACTCAAACATCACCTCCAGATCCTAAACTCAGACACCACCTCCAGATCCTAAACTCAAACATCACCTCCAGATCCTAAACTCAGACACCACCTCCAGATCCTAAACTCAGACACCACCTCCAGATCCTAAACTCAAACATCACCTCCAGATCCTAAACTCAGACACCACCTCCAGATCCTAAACTCAAACATCACCTCCAGATCCTAAACTCAGACACCACCTCCAGATCCTAAACTCAGACACCACCTCCAGATCCTAAACTCAAACATCACCTCCAGATCCTAAACTCAGACACCACCTCCAGATCCTAAACTCAGACACCACCTCCAGATCCTAAACTCAGACACCACCTCCAGATCCTAAACTCAGACACCACCTCCAGATCCTAAACTCAGACACCACCTCCAGATCCTAAACTCAAACATCACCTCCGGGACCCAATGTTCCCTTTAAGCTGCGAGGCTGCTATCTCACAGACGCCGCGCAGCAGTTTTGAGTATCCGCGCAGCTAATTTTCACGTAGGTGTGTGTGAGTATGTGGGCTGTAAAACTTTGCACACAACTGTATGTTTTTGCACACGAACCAGCAAACCATAGAGGGAACATTGCCGGGACCCACTCTATGCCACCATCTCCAGGACCCACTCTATGCCACCACCTCCGGGACTCACTCTATGCCACCACCTCTGGGACCCACTCTATGCCATCACCACCGGGACCCACTCTATGCCATCACCTCTGGGACCCACTCTATGCCACCATCTCCAGGACCCACACTCAGACACCACCTTCAGGACCAAAACTACGCCACCACCACCAGTTCGCCCCACGCCCTGGCCACACTCTAAGACAGCATGCCCAGGTCCCACATTACGACACCACCTCCAGGTCCCACATTACGACACCACCTCCTGGTCCCACACTACGACCCCGACCTGGCTACGACGCCAACCTGCCCAGCAGACGGCGGAGACAATTGTGTACAGATGTCCCCCATCCAGCCACTTCAACAGCACTTGAAATCATTAAAGAGCGTCAGTGCGGCGGTCCTGTTTGGTTTACCCGCGGTGTTTGCATGGGGCTGCTTTGTTTGGACTGGTAGACCCTAGCAAAGCAACGGACGGTGTTCCGTACCTGTCCCCCACAGCGGGCAAGGGCGGGGGCGGTAAGGGAAGGGGGCTGGCCAGGCTTTAGGAGTCAGTCCTCAATGGGGTTTTCTGAGAATGTTTAGAAATTAGCATCTTTTTGTTTGCTGGGTTGTGCTATGGGCTCACAGCCCCATGTTTCCGGGATGTCGCCTCGGGTTGAGCTGTGCAGGTGCACAAGTGAACTGGGGTGAGTTGAAATGGGGTGAGTTGCACAGGGGTGAGTTGAACTGGAGTGAGTTGCACAGGGGTTAGTTGACTGGGGTGAGTTGAACTGGGGTGAGTTGCACAGGGGTGAGTTGAACTGGGGTGAGTTGAACTGGGGTGAGTTGCACAGGGGTTAGTTGAACTGGGGTGAGTTGAACTGGGGTGAGTTGAACTGGGGTGAGTTGAACTGGGGTGAGTTGAACTGGGGTGAGTTGCACAGGGGTGAGTTGAACTGGGGTGAGTTGAACTGGGGTGAGTTGCACTGGGGTGAGTTGAACGGGGGTGAGTTGAGGGTGAGTTGGAGTGGGGTGTGTTGAACTGGGGTGAGTTGCACGGGGGTTAGTTGCACGGGGGTGAGTTGGACTGGGGTGAGTTGCACAGAGGTTAGCTGAACTGGGGTGAGTTGCACAGGGGTGAGTTGAACTGGGGTGAGTTGAACTGGGGTGAGTTGAACTGGGGTGTTGCACAGGGGTTAGTTGAACTGGGGTGAGTTGAACTGGGGTGAGTTGCACAGAGGTTAGCTGAACTGGGGTGAGTTGCACAGGGGTGAGTTGAACTGGGGTGAGTTGAACTGGGGTGAGTTGAACTGGGGTGAGTTGAACTGGGGTGAGTTGAACTGGGGTGAGTTGAACTGGGGTGAGTTGCACAGGGGTTAGTTGAACTGGGGTGAGTTGAACTGGGGTGAGTTGCACAGAGGTTAGCTGAACTGGGGTGAGTTGCACAGGGGTTAGTTGAACTGGGGTGAGTTGCACAGAGGTTAGCTGAACTGGGGTGAGTTGAACTGGGGTGAGTTGAACTGGGGTGAGTTGCACAGAGGTTAGCTGAACTGGGGTGAGTTGCACAGGGGTTAGTTGAACTGGGGTGAGTTGCACAGGGGTTAGTTGAACTGGGGTGAGAGTGGTGAGTGTGTGTGGTGAGTGTGTGTGGTGAGGTGCACAGGGGTTAGTTGAACTGGGGTGAGTGGCACAGAGGTTAGCTGAACTGGGGTGAGTTGCACAGGGGTTAGTTGAACTGGGGTGAGTTGCACAGAAGTTACTGAACTGGGGTGAGTTGAACTGGGGTGAGTTGCACAGGGGTTAGTTGAACTGGGGTGAGTTGAACTGGGGTGAGTTGCACAGGGGTTAGTTGAACTGGGGTGAGTTGCACAGAGGTTAGCTGAACTGGGGTGAGTTGAACTGGGGTGAGTTGAACTGGGGTGAGTTGTACAGATAAACAGGGGTGAGTTGCACGGGACTTAGTTTTACTAGTGCACAGGGGTGAATTACACATGTGCACAGAGGCAAGATGCACAGGCTAGCAGGGTGCAACAGGTATGTATAACCCTTTAGCTACTTTTTGATATCGTCATCATACACTGATTAATATAGTTACATCCGGTCAGGAGCAGATGGGGAATGTGGACGAAATAATATGGTATGGATGCGTTTGAATGCTGGATATGGCTGGGGGTGTAGTGTGATTCCTGGTATAGTGGATACCTTACCTTACACGAGTATTGTTTGCATGGATCGTTCCCATCTCGCCACGAGTCGCCGCTTTCATACTTGACCTTCCTGTACCAACAGCCTGATTGGATGGAACAACGTGACACTCTCATCACACATATGACAACACGTCCAGGGTTTCTCAGACTAGCTGTAGTAAAATAACATTGGTTGGGAGGGGGGGGGGTCTCCAAGAGTCTGCCGTAAAATAACAGGTGGGTCAAGATTATCTCAAACTAGCTTTTGTAAATGACAGGTGAGTCAAGATTATCTCAAACTAGCTTTTGTAAATGACAGGTGAGTCAAGATTATCTCAAACTAGCTTTTGTAAATGACAGGCGAGTCAAGATTATCTCAAACTAGCTTTTGTAAATGACAGGCGAGTCAAGATTATCTCAAACTAGCTTTTGTAAATGACAGGTGAGTCAAGATTATCTCAAACTAGCTTTAGTAAATGACAGGGGGGTCAAGATTATCTCAAACTAGCTTTTGTAAATGACAGGTGGGTCAAGAGTATCTCAAACTAGCTGTTGTAAATGACAGGTGGGTCAAGAGTATCTCAAACTAGCTGTTGTAAATGAAAGGGGGGTCAAGATTATCTCAAACTAGCTTTTGTAAATGACAGGTGGGTCAAGAGTATCTCAAACTAGCTGTTGTAAATGACAGGTGGGTCAAGAGTATCTCAAACTAGCTGTTGTAAATGAAAGGGGGGTCAAGATTATCTCAAACTAGCTTTTGTAAATGACAGGTGGGTCAAAAGTATCCCAAACTATATCTTTTCTCCCACATAATCATAAACATCTATTGTTTAGTGTGCAGACACACGAAAATAACTCATTATAACTCGACCCTAATCCAACATGACCAAGTTCCCATTTCCCTGTGTGAATGACCACATTCCCATTTCCCTATGTAAATGACCAGTTCCTTGTGTGAATGTTCAAACTCCCATTTCCCTATATCTGAATGACCACAT